AAAAAAAAAAAAAAAAAAAACATAAACATAAACATCTGATTTAAATGTGGAAGTTCATAATATTTTTATATATGTCTGTAATTTTCGCAGTTACAAATGGGTTCCTAAAAAAGGGTTTTTTTTTTTTTTTTTTTTTTAATTTTTAATTTTTAAAATTGAAATAAATTCCATTTTGAACGAAATAAAATTACTCCGATCAATGCTTGGATTTGTGTTGGCGAGCACCGCCGATGGGTCGGCCAAACACGCCGCAGAAGCCGCAGCCAGTGAACTTCGGTGAAGATGGGTTGGCGGCGGTCGGCGAGCGTGACGGGGATATAGCCTCTATTCTATGGGAGGCGGAAGATCGTGACCGTTCAAAGGTGGAGGCGGATCCAACGTTGCGAGAAGGCCTCAATTCTCCGGAAAGGAAAAGAGCGTCACGTTGAGGTTGTTCTTCATGACGGCGCATTGTCGGTGTCAATTCGCCACTGAAGAATCTGTCGTCCCAGACCAAGCCGGAGGAGCCCTGTCGCCGGAATGACACGGCGGACCTCTGTAACCCCGCCATGTTTATTGTGTAATCGGAGATCCAAGAAGGAGAAATAATAGAAAAAGATCCGATTTTTTTTTTCTTTTCTTTTATTTTTATTTTTTGGTTTTGGTTCGTTGGGCTTTGTTTTATTTTATAAAACCAACAAAATTTCAGTTGGGGAAAATTGGTTAAAAATATAAATTTTATTTATTTATTCCTTTTTTTTAATATTGGAATTGGATAAAAAAAGAAAAAAAAAACAAAAAAAACTCAGTTGACCAAGTCAGTAACCATCAATTTCTCTCCATAAATAGATATTATTCTTTTTATTCCCTTTTTCATTATTTTTTTTAATTTTTTTAATTATTAAAATATTATTTTAGTTTATATACTTTAATATTCAATTTATTTTACATTTTACTATTGTAATTTGAAATATTTAAATTTTATTTCGTAATTTCATTAAATTTTAATAAAATATGTTCTTTTTATGTAATTTTTATTTGTTTCCAAAATTTTATATAAAAAAATATTGATAGAGATTAATTATTTTTAGAAAAATTAATTGAAAACATATTAACTAAATTTTAACTGAAATAACTAAAATAAAAGATTAACAAAATTGGATATATTTAGTCAAACCTAAAAATAGAATTAATTGGATTAGACAACAAAAATCCATAATTAGTGAAACTAATTTGACCAAAAGAATACTCCAAATTAGATCAATAATTGATTATTTCATGATTTAGCTTCTAATCCGTTTTAATTTTTTTAAATTACGTTTTTTTAAATAATTTTTAATTAAGCATTAAATAATACAATTAATTTTTTTTTTTATATAATTTAAAAAATGTTTTTTTTTTTTTAGAAAATATGAAACAATAGTAATGAAAGAAATATAAAATTTTAAAAAATAATAATTATATTATTTGACTATTTACAACCTAAAACAATTTTACCCTAAACTGAATATGGAAGTTTAAGGATCAGATGCATACATTCAAATACTGAATGAAGACCGTTAAAAGAATGGCAAGGCCGCCATAGACACTCAAGTTGAGCTTCTGTTTCAGCTAACACTAACTAAAGCAATATATGATTTCTATTCATTTCCTTCACCAGCTCCTCCTCCTCCTCCACCTTCCTTTTGTCTTTCAGGATATCACTTAAAGGTTTTGGCCCTCTAAAGTCGGTAGAAGATGATGCAGCTCCGATCGAACGGCGTTTTTCGATTGAGAACCCTCCATTTTCTTCTACTTTTCGCTTCTCTTCTTTGATCTGCGAAAGGGTTTTCGGTCCTTTGAATGGAACTGACTTCGGATTCAATCCACGATCCCTTACGACAGGTTCCCTCGAGATGGATTTTCTTGACATGTTTGACAATGTTTGTTGTGGTGTGGTCGGAGCGTACTCGTCGTAGTGACCGCAGGGTCTGTGTTGTCTTGAGTGTCTGAACGATCCATATTGACTAAAACCATTTGAAAAGGTTATGTTTTCTGGAGGTGATACTCTAGAAATCTTCCCGACCTGTAATGCTAGTCTTCTTCCAAGGGGTGGTTGATACAAACCAGGCTTCCGAGGTTTCACAAAGTTTCCACTCATTCGACATGACAATTGATTTCTTCTCCTTGATAAACTAACAATCGAACGGTTGCCAGAAACGCTGTCTCTCTGCAGATAGCTTCGAAGGTCGGCATGATTCCATTCCTCCGAATCTAGATTCACGAGGGTGAGCCTTTTCTTTTGAGAAAACATGGACTTGATGAGTTTCCCTCTCGGACAGCTGATGATGTTTCTGTCATTGAAAAGAACAGGTTCGGTCTCTAAGTGGTTGTATGAGTGCATCTCATGTTCATAAAGAAGTTCTAAATCAGAATGCATTGGCTCATAGGCAATATGGTCTTCAAAGTTTTCCCTGCACAATCCGGGATCCTGTTCTCTCTGTTCCAGATTAGTTGACAGGATGTACTCTGGATCATCGTGGCTAGCCAAATTCCCCGACCCATCACCTACGACGACGTCAAAGCCAGGGGATAGGTTGCCTTCCTCAGTACTGTCCGTCATCGGCTCCTCATAACTCTGATCTGCAACAGCATGTATATGAGATGTACTGTCATTAGATCCCACAGCTGGAGACGAGGAGACAAGCTCATCAACAGCCACTTTTTCACACTCAAGCAACAAGATCTTTGCAGAGGCACTTTGATGTGAAACATTTTCAGAAGGTTGACCGAGACTCGAGCATTGAAATGTAACATCAATTTTCGGACCAGCTACGTTCTTCGATGGATGAAGAAATGCATCTGCGTCGGTAGAGGCTAGTCCTTTTTTGTTTCCTGAAGCTGTTTTATCCTCAGAGGACGACGCGTTGCCGCTAGGAAATACTGTCTTTGTAGATCTTGTAGCAAGAGAAATATCATTGGCATGCAAATAAGAGCATGTATCACCTTTACTGCAGCAGCCATTGAAATAAAAATAACAGGGAATGATTGTCTTGTTCACAGGTACAGAACATTGAGAAGATTCTAACACTGCTCCAGCAGGACTATCCATTGGCTAAGGAGAAAAAGGAAAACAAAAATTTTAAACACAATGGTATTACATAATGAGAGCATGATAAAGTTCCTAGAAGACCATCAACTTAAATTGATAATCACAAGGTAAGGGCCCAAGTTCTTATTATTACTTGTGTTCACCACCTAGAACAAGGTCAACAAAACATTATAATATTTGCATTTGTAACAATCTACTGAAATGCATGAGATTCTTTGTGTAACGGCCCAAGTTCACCGTTAGCTGATATTGTTCTCTTTGGGGTTTCACTTTTGGGCTTCCCCTCAAGGTTTTTAAAACACGCTAGGGAGAGGTTTCCACATCCTTATAAAGAATGTTTCATTCTCCTCCCCAACCGAGATATTGTTCTCTTTGGGGTTTTACTTTCAGGCTTCCCCTCAAAGTTTTTAAAACGCGTTAGGGAAAGGTTTCCACATCCTTATAAAGAATGTTTCATTCTAACTGAGATATTGTTCTCTTTGGGCTTTCACTTTCGGGCTTCCCCTCAAGGTTTTTAAAACATGTTAGGGAGAGGTTTCTACACCCTTATAAATAATGTTTCGTTCTCCTCTCCAACCGACGTGGGATCTCACAATCCACCTCCTTCAGTGTAGATACTTAGCTCTTGGATCCATCCATAAAGATGAGCTATAATACATATTTGGAAAAACGAAAACCACCGCTGTTTATTGCGTGACAAAGTAACGAAAAACAGTATCACTTCCTCAATTTATGTCTTAAATTAGCACAATACATTCTCTAGAACATTGCTTACTTTCCAAACAACTTACATTCCAAAATGAAATTTACAAAACAAAAAACTATGTTCTTAGTTGCATCCTGACATGCACAAATTTGTGATTACAGATACCAAAGCTATGGGGATTGAGCCTTCAAGCAAAAGCAGAACAGGGCATATGCAAACTTGAGAACCAGGAAAAGAATTTCAACAAAATGGCAGTAAATTCAACCTAAATTTAGTCTTGGAAGATTCAAAGAAAGAGTTCAGACCAAACAAGTTTCATTGCTAAACATGTATAAACAAGGTAGATGAATCAGGCATCGACTGCAACCAAGCTCAGGTGAATATTAACAAACAGATAGTCAGCTTACCGGATGCCGAAAACCACAGGCTGCATTTAAGCAGTTTCCCGCCAGCCAGTAGTAACAATCTCTAGGGTTCAGCCTAGCAATCTCGCTGTGCCGATACTCACAATCAAAACCCTGAAAAAAAAAAAACAGTTGCCGATGCATAAACATAAACACGAAAACCCGATTCCACATTAATACCGAGAAATCTAATGATCGACAGCGTAAATTCAAACACATAATCATGCCGATGCATTTCGACGGAATGCAACAAAAAATCCTTCAAATGCAGAGCAAGATCCTCACAGTAGTGATAAGATAATGGAAGCATGAACCAAATTCTCCGGTGTTCACATCGAGAAGGAATTGTAACGTGAAAAGGGGTACGATTGTTATTTATTAAGCGAGAAAAGCCGACCTTCTTGCAGGTAAGAGGTGAAGCCAAGAAATAGACGCAATCAGTGTTACGTTTACGCAAATCTTCCCCCATTGGTGTTCTTCTCAGAAGGAATTGGAAGAAGAAGAAGAAGAGAGAGCGTAAGAGAAGTGGAAGAGCAGCAACAAAATCATCGTCATAGACGGCCTTCCATGGAATTCAATTTTCAATTCCTTTTTTTATTTTACATGGCGGAGATCATTTTAAATTAAATAACCAAATACCCATTTTCCAATTCGCTTTTTTGTACACATTAATTTAACAAAGATGAATAAAAAGTATTTAAAAATGTAATTTTTAAGAACAAAAAATAAAAAATTGAGTATGGTGTGAGAAGGGGATTGGAGGGCTTTGAAAGCAGAGTGATTCTATCCGGTGCTCTGCCCCACCTCCTGGATCCCTCCATTTTTGTCGTTCTTCTCTTCAACGGCTGACAGCGTTTCACTGCTGAGAAGAAGCTTAGATATGACAGATTTTCAATAATGTAAGCTTCTTTTCATGTCTTACCTGGTTTTGCTCGACACCATTTTCCCTTACTAAACTATCTATCTAACACGCTATAGTCTGCAATAATTGTTGCTTTTCGTCTCTGTTGATTCAACGCCTTGAATGTCGAGTTGAATCATGCTTGATGGTGGTATGGCTATGTCATTTTGTGCATTGAATTGCCCAGCAGGTGTTCGACGAAATGCCAATGAGAGCATTTTTCGGTTTAGAAGGAGATTAAACCTGTATTTATCTGTACAGATCTTCTCTGTTATTCAAACTGATGAGAATGACAACTTAGCAGCATCCAAGAAGATGTCGAGTTCAGGAAAATCTCTGTCGAAAACTCGAACTCTTAAGCCCCTTCTTGTCCAGCCAAATACTGTGGGTGTCATAGGGGGAGTGTCGGTTTTTTCCACTCTACTTTTCATGGAAAAGCTCGTTTGGTGGAGTAGGAAGGATGGAGAAGAGAGCATACCTTTTGTTGTCTGCAGCGATCCAGTATTAGACAAGGGAATTCCTCATAGTGATGCCATGATCATCGAGAATTTGAAGCAGAAAACGGCGTTTCTCGAGCAGTCGGGAGCTCGATGCCTAATTACACCTTGCCATCTTTCACATAGGTGGCTTGGTGACACATCTGAGAGCTGCAAATTACCTTTCCTTCACGTCGGAGATTGTGTAGCTAGGGAGCTTAATGAGGCTAAGCTTAAGCAACTTGAAGCAGGTAGCAATGTCCGGATTGGCCTGCTTGCAACTGATACATCAACATTAACTGGTTTTTACCACGAGAGGCTACAAAAGCAGGTTTTGTAAATACATTCACTGCTCATGGCTGATACTCTAGTTTTTACCACGAGAGGCTCGACCCCTTCTCTAAAGTTCTCGAATAAAGTACACTCTTTGTTCGACACTTGAGTCACTTTTGAATACACCTTCGAGTTTAAGGGCATGGTTCTGACATCGTGTTATGAATCATGACTCTCCATAATGGTATAATATTGTCGGCTTTGAGTATAAGCTCTCATGGGTTTACTTTGTACTTTCCCAAAAGGCCTCATACCAATGAAGGTGTCGTCGTGTGAGACTCTGTGATGTCCCACATTTGTTGGGGAGGAGAACAAATCACCCTTTTATAAGGGTGTAGAAACCTTCCCCTAGTAGACCGTTTTAAAGCCTTGAGTGAAAGCCTGAAAGGGAAAGCCTAAAGAGGACAATATCTACTAGCGGTAGATTTGGGTCGTTACGAATGGTATCAGAGCCAGACACTGAACGATGTGTCAGCCTTCTCGTTGTTACCTGAAGGGGGGTAGACACGAGGTAGTGTGCCAGTAAGGACGCTGGGCCCCAAAGGGGGGTGGATTTGATGGTGGTCCCACGTTGATTGGAGAAAGGAACGAGTGCCAGCGAGGACGCTGAGCCCTGAAGGGGGTGGATTTTGATGTCCCACATTGGTTGGGGAGGAGAACAAATCTCACCCTTTATAAGGGTGTGGAAACCTTCTCCTAGTAGACGCGTTTTAAAGCCTTGAGGGGAAGCTCGAAAGCTCGAAAGGGAAAGCCCAAAGAGGACAAGTAGACGCGTTTTAAAGCCTTGAGGGGAAGCTCGAAAGGGAAGGCCCAAAGAGGACAATATCTACTAGCGGTGGATCTGGATCGTTACAGACTCCTCCCAACAATCCTCAACATTTTTCTACACTATTTACTAAACGATCCCAAACATTTCTTCTGAATTCCTCGTGTTCTTTCAGGGCTTCGATGTCGTCGTGCCGGACGAGGCAACCATGGAGCATATAGTAATTTCTGCAGTGGAAGCTTTCCATAAAAGGGATCACGAAGGAGCAAGAAATCTGTTGAGAATTGCTGTTCATGTTCTATTGACAAGGGCTGTGAATATGGTAATCCTTGCTTCTGATGAACTCCTTAATCTTCTTCCTCCAGATGACCCCATTCTGGAAAAATGCATTGACCCCATGGATGCGTTGGCCAAAGCAGCCATTAAATGGTCAAGATCTGCGGGACATCTCCATGAGAAAGCTTAGCTCACAAGCTATATACTTTACGTGTGTTAGGAATCACGGCTCTTCACAATGGTATGATATTGCCCACTTTAAGCCCAAGCTCTCATGGTTTTGCTTTGGCCTTCTCCAAAAGGCCTCGTACCAATAGAGAAAGATAGTATTCCTTGGTCATAAACTCATGATCAATCCCAAAATTAGCCAAAATTAGCCAAGGTGGGACTCACTTCCAATAATCTTCGACAATGTGTTGATTGGAGGCATGAATTAAATGGACGCACTCCCAATAATCTTTGACAATGTGTTGATTAGAGGCATGAATTAAATGTCAATGTGGGACTCACTCCCAATAATCCTCGAAAATGTGTTGATTGGAGGCACGAAGGATGAAATATAAACAGGAACCAACATAGACCACAGCATCAAGCTCTCTTTAGAAGAACATGGAAGCCAGTCCACTGTCTAAATTATCATATTTATTTTATTTTTGTCTCTTAATTTTTTTTTATATAATTAGATTTGTAAAAAATAAAAACAAAAAATAAAAAAAATAAAAAAACTGAAATTTATTTTCAGACCTCATACATAATAAAATATTTGCCTATTTTTCAAATAATTTAGAAAAATATGGTGACAAGGACTTAAATGAAATATTTAGAGAAAAAGAAAATAAAGTTCTGAAAATAAAATGAAATAAAGCTGAAATTTATTTATAATGTTTGGATTTTTTTTTTAAACATTTTTTTTTCAGTTTAAACTTAGTCGATATAAAGAATAAATTAAAAAAAATCTAAAATGTTGGGTTTTATGAATATCTAAAAGTTATTATTATTATTATTATTATTATTTGGTTAAAATAAACGGTATAGACATAAAATGGACTATGCTGAGCGAATTGGAAAGGTCATGTTTTCTCGATGCATTTGAAGACTGGAACTCTAGACCTTGGAACGTTGTTCATCATGAATCGTCTGTTGAGTTTAATTTTCGTTTGATTTGGTAATTTTCTTTTTTTTTTAGTATCTTCTCTGACTCTGAATTCCATCTCGTTCTTGTATTTTACAGATGATGAAGTTTGTTTATGAGGCGATGGAGGCGACTCTCGCTTTTCCACTGAGATTGAAGGTGTTGCGACGAAAATCGAAAGCGGGAAAGTAATGTAAGAGACGATTCAAATTCATAAAAACTACCGCCATTCAAACTTCGTACATTTAGAACTTGTTCTTGATATGATTTTCGATTTCGTAAAAGTTTTGCAACGAACCTTTTTTCTTTTTTGAAATGTGTAGAGATGGTCTTGGTAGCTATGTGTATTTTGGATCTGTTCTTGTACAAGTTCAGGTGAGGAATTTTCTATGATAGGTGAATCGGAATCCCCAAAGTAAAATAGCCTAATTAGATAATGAAGGCGAATTATGCTACATAATTCACCTGCAAAGGTTCTCTAGAGATTCGAGTTTTTTCTAGGGGACACCAAATCTTCTTTACAGCCACTGATGAAAGTTGGGTTTGACTCGCAATTTGAGCCTAATAATGTTATTAGAAGGGCGTTTTCATTAATGTCCGTTGAAGTGGGGCATCTGGTTCTTATCTATTTTTATACATAAGAATCTATTTCTTTGAGATTTGATGGTTGAAGAACCATAAATTATTGAGCTGAAAGTTGAGTCTATCTTATTAGGAGCTTGCTATTCACACAGATTCTGAATCTTAATCAACACCCCACCCTCTCAACCTTCCCCCTGGTTCAATCTCAAAGCTTCTATATGCTGACATAATAGTTTCCATTTCAATTTGATTCTGTGTTTAAAGCAACCATTGACATTCCAAACAGTATTTGGATATGTTTGTTCTTGTTTTGCGCATCCATTGGATAGAGAGAGAGAGAGAGAGAGAGAGAGAGAGAGAGAGAGAGTATCAAGCTATGTTGCAATGCTAAAGAGGGGAAAATGGGCCTCCACCCATGATATCTATATCGAGGAGCATTCTAAGGGCTTAACATTATTGTTGTTAGTCATTACAAAAAGAAAAGGAAAACAAAAGGCAGCATTTGGATAGGGATCGGATGCCAAGAAGACGATATAATCGCATAAGGAGAGCCTTCCAAAATTCCTTCCCGCTTTAAACTGCACCACCTAAAAGATAGAGCACCCAAAATTGAATCACACCCAAGTGACACACGGTAAATTAAACACTTTTTGAGGGGCAGTAGATAACAAAAAGGTGCAAATTATGTTCTTCATTGATATAAACTCACCGAAACCTCTTGGTGTTTTGCATTTAAAACACTCCATCCTGCTTGCATAATTATGTATTCCGCATCCAATTCTGTACAACACAACATTATATGTTTTTTTCTTTCAGTTCAACATTACATGTTAATTAAACACATTGAATACTGGTGCGAGTTTAAACAACATCAACCAATTTTATTGTTCGTTTTCAGCGTGATCTTTTGAGTAAGGAATTTGAAATTCTGTCGCTGAAAGTAATGCAGGTGTGAATTATATTTCCATTTGAATGGCTTTACTGTTTTGATAAACTTTTATTGTAAAGTTTATTGTTGTGTATGTACCTAGGGCAAACCCAGTCTCCAGATTTCCATCCAGGTGGGATGCTTGCATCAGATCCATACTGATCGGAACCCATCATGTAGGCGCCATAATCACCAGGATAGACGGACTTAAATGCACCACATCTAAAGCAGTTCGGGCGGCTGGCGTAATTGTGAGCTCCGCAGCTGACGGCAGTGCAGTACCAGTCTCCGGCCAACACCTCCGTCTTGTTGTAACTGTAAGTTGAAGGGTCTGGGCCTCCATACTTGGGGTAACTGCAACGATGACATGCTTCTCTTTTCTTGAAATTTACGTTCTGGCAAACGTTGCATATCCAGTCTCCTGCTGACCAGCTCATTCCCTTCTATATATCAAAATACCATTATCCATAAGTTGAGAGAGAATCAAATAAAAAACTGCACAAGGGGTCTAAAACTCTGTCATAATCTTCAACAATGTTCAAGCTCTATGAATGCAATTGGAGTGCCAAAAAAAAAAAAGAGAGAGAGAGAGAAGAAACTTAAGACTTCAAAATTTGAGTACCCTTTTCCCCAAATGCCTTGTCGATGGCTAATGTAAACACACATATATTTCTTTTGTGGGGGGTGGGGGAGGGGAGGGGGGAGGTTGAATCCCAAGAGCTTTTTTCTTCCCTAATAACAGAAGGCCAATGGAGAAAAAAAAAAAGAAAAAAAAAAGAAAGGAATTTGACGACTGAAGTAGGAAGCTCACCTTGATGAAGAAAAGATGGATGTAATAAAGAATGGTTCTGTTGGGTAATAGGTGAATTGAATTGGTGGAAGAGAATTCAAAATTGTTAGAAGTGAGTTTGTTGAATTTGTTAGCTGGGGGAGCGGGGGGTTTATATAGTTGGCCAACTTCTCAGTGTCGGGGTCCATTTTATGGTGGTGTTTCTTTTATTCCCTTGCCTTTACATAGATGGTTTCCTCCTCATGTGATTCCCGGAAGTTGATTATCTTTTTATTCTTAACACAGAAAACGTTTGGCCCGACGGGCAACCCGGTTGGTAAGAGCTTGGAGTCTCTTAGGCATACCGGCTTAGATATCCCAAATTTGAATCTTCAGGTGAGCTTAATACTAAATTTTTTTTTATGTTTCTTTTGTTCGGGGCTTGCGTTGGGCATAGGTGCCCCCTATTATCTATAATATACATATATATCTTATTGAAAACTTCACATGGTAGATTAATTTCTTTAAGCAATACAAATCTATTCAGAAAGGTACATTTCATTCCTAGAAAAATAGACATCTCGTGCAATCATATGAGTATTTTAAATCATTATTCCAGTTCTTGTGCTTTTGTTTGTAGGGTAATAACTTTTCTCAAAAGTATTCCGCGTTTACTCTAGACTAATGCCTTACTTTGTATCTTGAGATACCCTAGAAGACAAGCCAAACTTTGTCACTGATAAATTGATTCCATTTTTCACTTTTGAAGTATATATAGGTTTGAATATAGTTTTAGCCCTAATGTCTTAATGAAAACCAAGTTTAAATTTTGCCATCTATATTGTTCAACTCCATTACTTGAATACTTTTGGTCTTTTTAATATTATTAATTCTAGTTTAAATCATGTTGGATAACTATTTAGTTCCTGAAAACTAGGCTTGTAAACACTATTTCTACCTATTAGTTTCAAGATGTTGATAGATTATAGTTGACGAAAGAGGTAATATAGAAGATGAATATGGTTAGAACATACATCCAAAAAATTGGACAACAAGTGTATACTAGGAATTATAGGTAGAGTTTAGATACGTGAGATTTGAACATTTGGCTTCGTGATCGAGATTATGAAAAAAGAAAAGGGTTTGGGAGTTGGGACAGGGGGTTTTAGGTAGGAAGTGGTAGCTAGGTGAGATGCCCTTGTGTTGGGTGGACTTTGTTTGCTCCAACTTGGCCAAATAAGCCTTCCCCATGTAGTTTCATTATGTGGACCAAATCCTTTCACAAAAGAAGGGGTTAAATAAAACACAAAACAACTGAAACAAAAAGTTGATTGTGTTATTATTATTGTTATATAATTGCCTCTCTTTCCCCCATTGGAATCTATTCCTGTTAAGTGCACATCCATCAGCCTCCCAAATTCCCTTTCCCTTCAATAATGCAACAAAAGATGGGCACTCCTTAGATTCATCATCCCATTTCACCTCCTCATGCTGCCTTTCCTCTGGCCCTCCCATTGCTCAATTTATATGCATGCACATATGCAATTTCTATCTCCACTTTCCTTTTCTTTTTCAGGTGGGGTTCAGGTGATTTGAATGTCTATAGAGGATATATGTCTAAATTAGTCGAGACACTCGAGTAAAGGAGAGATATATGAATGAGTCGAAACCATATCTGAATGAGCCGAGACCATATCTGAATGAGAGTAATCACGAGCATAGATAGCTAAGAAAGGCTGAATAGGATGAAAGTTACTACCTATACCAATAATGTTCACTTTCCTTTTCGGTGGTGCAATCATAAGAACTCTAAAGTTAAACGTGTTTTACTTGGAGTAATTTTATGTTGGGTAACCTCTTGAAAATTTTCCTAAGATGTATGTGAGTAAGGACTAGAATAACTTATTTTGATCTCTGGGATAGTTTTCACTTTTAGAAGCGAGAAGTCACGTGAGATGTCGCAAAGGATGTAAGAGAATGTCGGGATCACTAAATGGCAATCCAAATTCTAAATACTAGGCATGGATTGTGTAAATATAAATAAAAGCATAGCTATCAAAACTTGAAATGGTGTATATTACAACATTTTGTTACACATTTAGAATATTCTCGATTGATATTTCAACTTTTAGAACTAGTAATCTTAAGCTTATTCGTAAGCATAAATAATTATACAAATCTAAATATACTCATGTTTACATTTTAAGAACTTAAAAGTTCATATTATTTTATCATCCAAAAGTATATTATACGATAATTGCTATAAACTTAAAAATGTTAAATAAAATCAAAATTATATGTCAAATATTTACTAAAACTTTAATTTCCTCAAATTAAATAAATATTACAATTAAATTTGAAAAAGTATCAGTTTCCTTAAAGAACTTTCATATTTTCAATAAATTATAAAACATAGGTGTATTATAAAAGTATTTATAGGATTTAAAATTGACCTAAATTTTTATTGTAATTTGTATGCTTAACAAAATTATTCTATTAATATTCTTTTTTATTAATATTAGTAGGAAAATAAAAATAAAAAAATTGAATGGATGCAACTCTAATTAGGCAAGTTTAGAATATAAATAGATTTTTTTTATTAAAAAAATAGTAAATAAATAAATTGGAATAATTTGGATTGCGGCGAACCGACGCTGGGTAGAGTACATGGGCAGCCTCAGAAATTTCGGAAATATCAAAAAGGCTATTTATTATTTTATTGTTTTTTGTTTCTTTTTCTTTTTATAAGATGTAACTTTATCTATTATTTATTTATTTATTTATTTTCTACATGTATGTAGGGGAGCTCTTAATAAATAACTAAAAAATAATTTGTTTCTAGACAATTAAATAATATAACGAGATAAAATCATTATAAAATACCTAATTTCTTTCTAAATAATATCGGAGATTGTCTAAACACCGACGAGTATGTTCACGAGTCAAGTAGAACGATAAATTTTTTATTTTGTATTTCATAGACAAATATAACGGGTGCGCATAGGATCGAGTAAGCATAAGTGGGTGGGGAATAATAAATAAAAAGGAGAGGCCAAAAATGTAAAAACAAGACACGATGAATATTCCAATAATGAAACACGAAAATCTTAGACAAATGCAAATGTAAATGCGCTTTCATAATTCCAAAAATTCTTTATTCTCTCTATTTTTTTTTTTTTTTTTTGAAAAAGGAAAATTATTATGTTCTTAAAAAGAAAAAGGGCAAACCCCTTTAATAATACTTGGAGAATCCTCATCCTAACACTTCAAAGCAAAGGTTGAATATGAATATTCCCTTTCTCCATATATCCAACCCCCTTACACCGTAACTTTACCCTACTCTATCTGTCTTGGTTCGTTACGAGTACGATCAATTATTATTATTATTATTAAATTTAATAAAATATATTTTTTTTTAATTTATATATTGTCATATTAAATTTATATATATTTTAATTATGAATAAAATTTAATTAAAATTTATATTGCTTTTGGCGGGTGAAAGTCCGTACAACTATATTTCAAATAATAACGACCCTTATCTCTAACGCACTCGCCACCGCCACGGCCTTCGTAGCGCCCAAAAATGGCGACTTCTGCTCCTTCACTGGTACTTTCACCCACCTCTCCTTCTTCCGACCCGCCTTATAGGCTCCTTCAAGATCACCCATCTCTCAAGCTTATCTCCAAATGCCGAAGCATTCGAACTCTCAGACAAATCCACGCTCAGATCATCAAGACTGGCCTCCACAACACTCAGTTTGCCCTCAGCAAGCTCATCGAGTTTTCCGCTGTTTCGCGCTATGCTGATATCTCTTATGCTGTTTCTCTATTTAATTCCATTGAAGAGCCCAATTTATTCATTTGGAATTCGATGATTCGAGGGCTTTCGATTAGTCTATCGCCCGTTCTGGCCTTGGTTTTCTTTGTCAGAATGATTCATGCCGGGGTAGAGCCGAATTCTTACACTTTTCCTTTTCTTTTGAAGTCTTGTGCTAAGCTTGCCTCTGCCCGTGAAGGGAAACAGATTCATGCGCATGTTTTGAAGCTTGGGTTCGTGTCTGATGTGTTCATTCATACTTCGCTTATCAATATGTATGCGCAGAGCGGTGAAATAAATTATGCCCAATTGGTTTTTGATCAAAGTAATTTCAGGGATGCAATTTCTTTCACTGCACTAATCGCTGGTTATGTGTTGTGGGGTTATATGGATCGCGCTCGGAAACTGTTCGATGAAATGCCTGTTAGAGATGTGGTGTCCTGGAATGCTATGATTGCTGGATATGCACAAACTGGTAGATCCAAAGAGGCGTTGTTGTTGTTTGAAGAAATGAGGAAAGCAAATGTCCCCCCAAATGAGAGTACTATTGTCTCCGTTCTTTCTGCTTGTGCTCAGTCAAATGCTCTGGATTTAGGAAATTCGATGCGCTCTTGGATTGAAGATCGCGGGCTTTGTTCGAATCTTAAGCTTGTAAATGCCCTTATTGACATGTATTCAAAGTGTGGTGATCTTCAGACTGCTCGTGAGTTGTTTGATGAAATGCCTGAAAGGGATGTGATCTCATGGAATGTTATGATCGGCGGTTACACTCACATGTGCAGCTATAAAGAAGCCTTGGCATTATTCCGCGAGATGCTAGCCTCAGGTATTGAGCCCACTGACATCACCTTCCTTAACGTTCTTCCGTCTTGTGCTTGTTTAGGTGCCATTGACGTCGGTAAGTGGATACATGCTTATATAAACAAAAACTTCAACTCAGCCAGTACATCTCTGTGGACGAGTCTGATAGATATGTATGCTAAATGCGGTAATATAGATGCGGCAAGACAGGTCTTTAATGGTATGAATTTCAAAAGCTTGGCTTCTTGGAATGCCATGATATGTGGGCTAGCAATGCATGGACAAGCAAATGAAGCTCTTGAGCTTTTCTCAAAAATGTCTAGTGATGGAATTGAACCAAATGAGATAACCTTTGTTGGTGTTTTATCTGCTTGTAAACATGCTGGTTTTGTTGATCTCGGACGCCTATTTTTCAGCTCTATGATTCAAGACTATAAGATATCTCCAAAATCCCAACATTATGGATGCATGATAGATCTTCTTGGGCGAGCTGGGTTGTTTGAGGAAGCAGAGTCCTTAATACAAAACATGGAAATGAAACCAGATGGAGCCATTTGGGGTTCCCTTCTTGGGGCATGTAGAGACCATGGACGAGTCGAGTTAGGAGAAATAGTTGCCGAACGTCTTTTCGAACTCGAGCCAGATAATCCTGGAGCTTATGTGCTTTTATCCAACATATATGCAGGGGCTGGTAAATGGGATGATGTTGCAAGAATAAGAACAAAATTGAACGACAAGGGAATGAAGAAAGTTCCTGGTTGTACCACCATCGAAGTCGATAACGTCGTTCATGAGTTCCTGGTCGGGGACAAAGTTCATCTGCAAAGTGAAAACATTTACAAGATGCTGGAAGAAGTAGACAGACAATTAAAGGAGTTCGGATTTGTACCAGATACATCCGAGGTACTGTATGACATGGATGAAGAATGGAAAGAAGGAGCTCTAAGCCACCATAGTGAGAAATTAGCGATTGCTTTTGGATTGATAAGTACAAAACCAGGTACACCAATTACAATCATTAAAAATCTTCGTGTCTGTCGTAATTGTCATGCTGCCACAAAGCTAATATCTAAGATATTCAATAGAGAGATTATTGCTAGAGATAGGAACCGTTTTCATCACTTCAAAGATGGTTCTTGCTCATGTAATGACTATTGGTGAATGATTTACATAATCTTGTGATACTTGTCTGAAGCAGATCTGTTTCTATGTTGGAATGAAAGCCAGTGTTTGTTTGTTCTTCAGATGATGGGTTTTGCTTACGTTTTCTTTGGCATAGCTAGACACAGATGGAGAGCTGTCTTTTTGTGGTAGCCATGACTCACAAGCAAAAACTGTCATTTTGAAAACTTCATGCTTCAAATGGTTGAGTTTGGCTCGAAGAAATTTCGAAACAGCCTTGTCGACACGTCCGCGATATATGCCACTCCGATCACTGTAGGTATAGTACAGAAATGAGATTGATATAGAATAATAATCTATGGAGATTGTGAGAGGCTGGAGATCCCTACATCGGTTGAGGAGGAGACCGAAACATTTCTTATAAGGGTGTGGAAACTTCTCCCTAGTAGACGCTTTAAAAAAAAATGGTGATACTGTAACAATCCAAACTCACTGCTAGCAGATAGTGTCCTTCTTAGGTTTTCCCTCGAAGTTTTATATCAAGTCTGCTAGGGGGAGGTTTCCACACTCTTATAAAGAATGCTTCGTTCCCCTCTCCAACCGATGTGGGATCTCACAATCCACCTCCCTTTAGGGCCAAGCGTCTTCGCTGGCACACCGCTTGGTGTCTGGCTCTGATACCATTTGCAACAGTCCCACTGCTAGCATATATTGTCCTCTTTAGGCTTTTCCTTTCAAGATTCCCCTCAAGGGTTTTAAAACACGTCCGATAAGGAAAGGTTTCAACACCCTTATAAAGAATGTTTTCCTTTCGAGATTCCCCTTGAGGGTTTTAAAACGCGTCTGATAAGGAAAGGTTTCAACACCCTTATAAAGAATGTTTTCCTTTCGAGATTCCCCTTGAGGGTTTTAAAACGCATCTGATAAGGAAAGATTTCAACACCCTTATAAAGAATGTTTTCCTTTCGAGATTCCCCTCAAGTGTTTTAAAACGCGTCTGACAAGGAAAAGTTTGAACACACTTATAAAGAATGTTTCGTTCCCCTCTCCAATCGATGTTGGATCTCACAATCCACTTCTGACACATCACCCGGTGTCTCACTCTAATACCATTTGTAACAACCCAAACCCTCTATTTGCAAGTTCCTCTTTCCAACCAACATGGGATCTCACAAATTCGTAACGGACTATAATATACAATATCTACTAGTGATAGTCTCGAACTCAAGTCGTTACACGAGCAATGTTAGGCTCTCGCCCATGACAAGATCCTTAGGTGCGTGAAGGGGCGGCTAAAAAACCTCAATTCTACAAGGAACGAAAAGCCATTTTTAAGTTGTAATACTTCATAGAATATAAAACCATGATTAGACATGACTCAAGCTTGGCTTTTTAAATTTTTAATTCTCAAAATCATTCAAACATAATCTTTTTTTATTTCATATATTTCTTTAAACAAATGCGTTCGTATAGAATATATCAATCCATATAATACGACCCATAAAATTCTTAATTAATTTTGGGTTAAACCAACCGTTTGGTCAATGTAATTGGATCTTATTCTATATTAATTAATTGACATGGTTCGACCGTGCTCTCACTATTCATGACCTATTCCTTTCAGGGCCTCTGGGATATTTTTTTCTTTTTATTTCATATTTTTGTTTAAAAATATTAATTTTGTAAAAAAGAAATTAAAGTTTAAGAATAGATATTATATTATTAATTAGAGGGTCCAAAACAGAAATATAGGATATCAAATTAATATTTAAAAGAAAAAAAAAAAGAGAAATTAAATATTAAAAAAAAAATTAAAGTAAAAGTCTTCATAAGCGAACTGGGATGATCCACGTCGGTTCCATGTAAGCAGGCAATTGTTTATATATAGCGCCGGGGAATTTCTTTGTCCTTTCTTTCTCGCTGTTGCTGAAGCTGCCCTAGATCGAGCTTCGATTGTCTGAGCAATTCATCGTCTTCCTTGTTCCCCAATCGATAAGATTATTCTCTCTTCACTGACAACTTCTGAGGATTCCATTTCTTTAATTCCTTCTCTTTGGTAATTCTCTGCTCTTACCATCTCCAAACCCTGCTCTCCCGATTCTTGTTTCTTGGGGCTCTCAGCGGATCTTTCCATAATCGATTCATTTCCCTTTGATTTTTCCCCCGATCATCCTTTTTCCCCCTTAGAATTTGTGGGTTTGGGGGGGGTTGATGGTTTAAGTGGACTTGAGACAAGCTTTAGGACTTATGGTTGTGAAATTGCATATATCTTAAGCTGGTGTTTTGGCTTGGGCTGGAGATTGGATTGTGTCGATGGTTGGTTTGGTGTTATGAAATTTATTTTGTTTTGAGTTTATATCGACTTTTCTTTCTGGAAATGAGAAATACTCTGTTCGAAATATTACTTGCAACTGTGTATTCTTGTTGTTGTAATGACTGAGAACATGGGTGATTGTATTGAAACATATGAGCATGTAGTTTGCTTTTACGATTGATTTCACGCTTTCAATCGCACTAGTCCCATGCTGTCTTTATTTAAGAAAAAAGGTTTTATCTCATATGAAGAAGGAATTGGAGTACTAAATCATTTATATCTGCAGTTACTTAGCATTTGGTTTCAGCCATTTCTGAACTGTGGCTGTCATATAAATCTAAATAATACAGAAAGCCGTACATTCATCAACAAATTTTCACATACTACTGCTAATGTTGAAGCTTCAAGCCATGATTTCTTCAGGAAAATTAGCAAGACAATGGATTCATATCTTGAAATCCAATTTTGTATCTTGAAAACGACTTCTATTGATGTAGTCTTCTATGTGGAATTTTGTTGAGTCCGTTTTGTTATTTTCAACCAATTCTATAATTGTTGTTCCATGTTTTCCCCTTGTTTTGAAGAGAATGATTTCTTGAGTTGATAAACAGCATAGCTGCTGCTCCCATGAGACATGTTCTTGTGGAATCTGCTTTTTCATTGTCTTATTGCCACTCTAATCTCCTTGTTATACTTTAAGAAGCAATGAGCTAGTCATTTAATGGCATAATTAGGAGTTTCCTTCTTTTCCTAATGCCCTTGGCCAAATTTTCTGCATTGTGTTTTTAGTCATATGATAACACAACATAGAGCATGGGTACAAACGTAGACTACATCTTATTTAGTATTGTGAAAAAGGGTGTAAAATCTTATGTTAAAATTGATCTCTTACAGTTTTTTTTTTTTTCCTGCAATTGCCTGGTTAGGATTGCTCAGCACTTTAGGGCGCTTTTTTCTGTTCTAGAAGATTCATCATGCCGAAGGAGAGAAGAGATCGTTCTGCATCTCATGATAGGTATAGAGCATCTCCATTCAGTTGCAGCTCCAGTCATGCTAGACGATCTTCACCTAAACTACCCTTGGGAAGTGAGGATAATTTGAGAGAGTGGGAAGAAGTCAGATGTCCTGTGTGCATGGAACATCCTCATAATGCAGTTTTACTCATATGTTCATCCCATGAAAAGGGTTGCCGTCCTTACATGTGTGATACTAGTCGACGCCACTCAAATTGTCTAGATCAATTCTGCAAGTTGTTTTCAGAAACTTCAAGTATAATGCCAGTGCAGGAAGACGTGGAGCTTCCAACGGTAAACTCTTCACTCCCAACAGTAAACTCTTCGCCGACATTGGAATCTGAGCCCGTGGTTGATGATACACCAGATGAACAGACTGAGGGGATTCAGCTTCCTGTGCACCCTTCATCTTGTGAAAATCAGATGCAGCCAAAGTTGGTATGCCCTTTGTGCCGAGGGAGGATAAAAAAGTGGGTTGTTGACGAGCATGCTCGTCAGTTCATGAATGCAAAACCAAGAAGTTGTTCCTGTGAGACATGTAACTTCAGTGGACCCTATACAGATCTTAGGAAGCACGCAAGGAAGGAGCATCCTCTTGTGCGTCCATCAGAAGTAGACCCTGAACGACAGCATAACTGGCGACGACTCGAGCGGCAGAGGGACCTGGGAGACCTTCTGAGCACACTACAATCATCATTTGGAGAGGATAGGGTTGATGATAGTATTTTACCCATTGATGATGGTGGTTGGCTCACAGTTTTCTTCCTTATCCGAGTTTTTAGACCTGAATCCAGTAGAAGAAGCAGCAGTTGGTCTAATGTATCTAGAGCTAGAGGCCAACCAAGTTTTAGGAGGAGAACAACCAGACTATGGGGTGAGAGTTATGATGGAGAAATAGGCTCATCTTCCAGAGATGAAGATAATGACACATCAGATGATGGATCAGGCCCGTTGAGGCGCCATGAGCGCGTACAGAGACAGACAACTCCAGATAATGCACCTTGATACTCTTGATGTATGTGGTTTTCTTTTGATTCTCATGCTTTGAGGATGGTTGAGTAAACAGATTTTCTCAATCTGCGTGTGGCAGCAGGTAGTAATTGGTTACTGCTTCTGTTGCCCTTTTGTTCTTTCAAACGGAAAGAAAGATGGAGGCTGTTCCTTGCTGCCTTTATCATGTGTTCCATTGATTCTGGATCAATTCTGGTTCGAATCTTGTAATTTACTGGACCTCGAGTCTTTAAATGTCTTTCTATGGCAGCCCTCGTACTCTCTACATATGTTGCTGCACTTTCAACTTAGTTTCGATCTCTCTCTCTCTCTATATATATATTTCTCTTTCAATAAAATTACTTTGATTTTCAGGAAGTGGTATGTTCAATCGAAGGCTCTTGGACCATCCATCTTCTATGCCAACTAAATGGATATCCAGCCTCAAAGAAACAGCCACGAAAAGAGGTTCCATCATTACTGCTAACTACTGGGTCAATATGAGTGAACTTGCATATCAAACATTAGTTCATCTTATAACTCTAAGCTATATGAATGCAATCAATTAGCTAAATGTGCCTCTTATCTTGATTTTCTCTTGGTCCATGATTTTCTTTTGAATGCATCTTAGACCTAGTGGTAGAGGCTCTTGTTACACAATCCACTCGACGTGGGATCTCACAATCCACCCCCTTAAGAGGTCCAGCTGGCACATCACTCGATGTCTGCCTTTGGTACCATTTGTAGCATCCTAATCCCACTGTTAGTAGATATTGTTTGCTTTGACTCGTTACGTATTGCATTTAGCCTCACGGTTTTAAATTGCGTTTGTTAGGGAGAGGTTTCTACACCTTTATAAGGAATGTTTCGTTCTCCTCTCCAACCAATGTAGGATCTCACATAAAATTATACAAAAAAAAAAAAAAAAAAACTTACAAAAATCTAAATTATTATAGTACAGAGCTTGAATTATATGAAATATAAGCCATTCGTATTCGGCACATGGCTATGCCTATACACGATGAACAAATCATGTGTAGCACCATGTTACAAACTTTAAATCCAAATAACAATAATTTTGGCAATTAGGGTTTGTCCACTTTCCATTATTTATGAATAGGAAACAGCCTCTCAATTTTAAGGTACATGGTCCTACCAATACAAAATTTCACCAAATTCAACCTCATGTCCATCAATACCCACAACTACTGATCACATTAATATCCACCATTTCATAATTATTTTAAAATCTAAATTATTTAGAATTTTAAAACTTAAAAGCTTCGAGAATGAGAATTTATTTGAATTTTTAATCTAGAATAAATATTTAGATTTTATTATTATTATTATTATTTACTTGCATGAAAACTAAAAAAGAAAAAATGGGTTAAAAATTCAATGAAAATTATAATTAGAAAACAAATATAATTTTTTTTTAAAAAAAAAATCATTTTTACCTATTTATTCTAAAAGGTCGCATTCTCAAACAATAACTAAAAAAATCTATATTTTCTTTTACCAGAATCAGATGTCACGTTGAAAAGACAGCATCTTGAGACCAAAAATGGAAATGGTATTTGGGTGGGCAGCAAATCGAACGTTCCGTTTATCCTCCTTCTCGATGCCAAATTTATATTATTCATTTTTTCTGTTCATAATTCGTCGAAATTCGTTAGCCTTTTCTTTTTCCCGTCTCGCCGGAGATCGACTTCTTTTCTTTGATGCATGTTTTTTCTCCGATGGGCAGAGAAGAATAAGGCAAAGGAAAACTGAAAGTAAATAGCTTTCTTTTCTAGATTTTCCAAATTTTGATTCATTTTGGGAACCTTCAGGGATATACATTTTCTAGCTAGAAGATTTTTTGGAGATGGGAGCAGAGAGCACCTCGAAAACGACCCCCGAAAGTGGAGATAAGAACGACAAGAAGAAGACCCAGGTGGTGTTGAACGTTTATGATCTCACCCCTGCCAACAATTATTCCTATTGGTTTGGTTTTGGGGTTTTCCATTCGGGTATTGAAGGTGATTTCCTTATCTGCTTCCGCCCTTCCCCTGTTTGATATCGTCCTGATTTTGATGCACCCTTTGTGTTTGTTAAAATGTCTCTGAAGAAATGTTATTGAAACTCTTCCTGTTCTTTTCGAATTTTGTTAAGTTTTTGGTTTTGAATGTAACTAAAATGAAATTTTAGCATGGATTGGCACCTTTTTACATAGAAAATTCAAGATTATGAGCTCAGAATTTTCAATTCAATGCTATCTTCCTGTTGTGAATCCAACGTATGAATTCATTCAAATGTCTTTCATGTTGCACACAGTCCATGGCAAAGAGTATGGGTTTGGAGGTCATGACTTCCCCGCTAGTGGAGTTTTTGAAGTAGAACCAAGGAGCTGTCCAGGCTTTATATACCGATGTTCTGTCACGTTGGGACATGCTGATATGCCTCCCTCTGAATTCAGAAAGTTTCTTCAAACTGTTGCTACTGATTATCACGGAGATACATATCATCTTATTTCCAAGAACTGCAATCATTTTACGGATGATGTCTCGTGCAGATTGACTGGGAAAAGGATACCTGGTTGGGTTAATCGCCTTGCTCGGATGGGTAACACTTTTCTCAATTCACTGAACTTTCATCGTTGTTTACTTCCTTTGCATTCATCTTTTAATTGAATTCCTTTTGTCATTATAGTATGACATATCGCCATCCATTATGTTGATGCTATTTGAATGTGGAGGAAAACCTCCTTTGCTAAAAGAGCCACTTCTTTATACATTCATATGACATCTTTAATAAAAACTTCTAGTTTTCAATATGACATCTTTAATAAAAACTTCTAGTTTCCGCTTTATTGAAGGTGTGAGATCTCACATCGGTTGGAGAGGAGAATGAAACACCCTTTATAAAGGTGTGAAAATCTCTCCCTAGTAGACACGTTTGAAAAACCTTGAGGGGAAACTCGAAAGGAATGGTCCAAAGAGGACAATATCTACTAGCGGTGGGCTTGAGCTGTTACATAAGGTGTCTACGACTTTGGTTGAATTGATTTGCCTTACAAATGTTAAAAACGAAAAATATGTGTTGGGAGAAATGCTATGTGCTTTGTTTTGACAATACCTTATATTGCAAGCTGTAACTCCAATGATGATGGTTTGTTACACTCCATTGATGCATTATCAGTCTTTACTGGATGAAAATATAACAATGAATGATGTTAGTTTACTGTTATAACATTTACTCAAGAACATTTGATGCGCATGGATGTTGTCAGTTTGATGTCGAGCTCGGTCTCTGCATGCATTTGCACGCGTAAAAGTGAATTCTGCTAACTTCTTTTTCTGGTGAAAACTTCAGGTGTTTTGTGCAGCTGTTTACTACCTGAAAGCCTTCAATCTACTACTGTCAAACAATTGCCCGAGCCCCGCGAATACTCAGGTTTGTCGTCTTTTACTCGAATGTCGTTGCCTTCTTGAATTGATTTCAAACATGGGATCTGATCAAATACGTATGTAGTTAAAACTTGAATCCAACGAAGTATGCGGTTAATAGCATTACCATTTGGGGTTTGTTTCCTCCAGAGGAAGAATGTACCTCCGAGCCTCTGTCACTCAACACTCAGCAAGTCCTGGCAGAAATCGACAACGACGAAGAGAAGCGACTGCTGACACCCTCGACCGGAGTTACCGATGTTGCTTTTGTCGAAGAATCTCACAAGTGAGAGCAGGCAGTCAGTCTTTTCTATTGCTAACAAATCTCATCCCATGCAAACTATGATCTTGTCTCCGTTGCAAAAGTAAAAAACTGTAAGCCTTCTTTGTATTAGACATTTTGAAATAGAATGTTGTTTTTGTTAAGTAGCTATTGTTACTTTAGACCTTTAATTGAGCCACAAGAACATTAGATATCAATTTGAATGTCGTTTTATAATGACGACAATCTTGCCTCATTTTGTAACACAATTCTACAATCCTTTCCTCATATGATATTATATCAAAACAACGACATCAAACAAGAGGTACAGGGAATGATTATGTAAAGAGTAACAATAAAGTGTATGATTAAATTATCCAAAGTTCATGCCAGGGTATCTCTGCAGTTCGCCAAACGGCTTTAAATCTTGGGGTAAAAACCATATCAAATATAGGTCTCCAAAAGGAATAATAATATCACACCAAATTTGTTCCCAATGATCACAAATTGAGCAAATTGAAGAGCCTCCCTCCCTCTATAGCAGCCCCAGCTTTGAAGTTAACCAGGCACAGACCTCATCCATCTCTTCAGGAACTGTGTAGTGCCCAAGTCTGCAAACAATACATGAGTTGATATCATATGAAGTCGAGAATTTTCGCAAGCATATTCGAACACTAACGAAACATACCCGTTGTAGGATTTGAATATAACATCTTGGAATCCGACTGAATGTAATGCCTGTGAAGATTTCTCTCCAAATTTATAAAGAACCACATCATCAACTGCAACAAGTTTCACACCAAATCACCATTATCAGAACCCAACATTTTGAAGCCTAGTTTCCATCCTTTGATGTATAGAACAAGGAAAACTTTATCCTTTCTTAGCACATGAACAATTATGAATTTATAAATACCTTTTCCATGACAAAGCAAAATAGGCAACGATCCCGCTCCACTATTACTGGCATTCTTCTCTTCCATCTTGCTTTTCAAAGTCCTGGAATCACCACGATAACTCATTAGATTGATGGAAAAAGGATCAAAGGATGTCCAGAGGACAAAATTCAGAAGCCAACTTTGAACATGGAAGCCAGCCACTAAGCCCAACAACTGCACTCAAATTGGTTGGATAAGGATTTCCATTCCCATATTTTCCCACTGCATGGCAGGTCGCAGAGTAAAGCGCAGTGGCCGCTCCCATACTGAACCCTCCTACACCAAGCTTAACTGTCAAAAAGATTACAGCAGAATTATGTCAGCAACCACTGGAAAAGGCAAAAGAAATAGTATTTAAATTGCCAGAGAAACATACTGTCAGATGGCTCTGTTGATAACAAATATGCAACATGTGCGGCCGAAGCATCCAAGCCCTCTAAATCATCCGGGCCATCTTCTGAAAGATCTTTCACATCAAACCCTGGTTTAAGAAGAACATCTCACTGTAACTTTTATTTTCATGCAAGAGCATGTATGATATTAGTCTTGATACCCTTGTTATTGTAATATACATAAATAAAAACTCGACTTTCCAGCACGGAGATCCCGGTTTAAGCGATCTTATATCCTTAAAGAAAAAGGAATTCCAGTAAGCTTACATGCAGTGGATGGAAAGCCCCCAAACAAAGCTATCGATCGAGTCGGGGCAGTTGGACATATCCATTTAATCTGCATCAGTAATGTCAAGTTTATACAACAATACTAAAGAAACGATTTCATCTTAGATCATTAAAGAAAAGTTGTACAAGGAAGGCGACTGGGTTGAATAAAATTGGAATAGCTATATAAATGCTTCTAAATACTTTGAAAAGCTTCATATTCTTACATTTGGTAAGGGAAGCATCTCCAAGAGCTGCGACCAGCTGTCAAACAAAATGAAAACATTTCCAAACATGACATTCTACTGAATTTGAACAAAATGGCTAAGAATAATCTTGAAGTGTGCTAGTTAAAAGTTTCAATTAGAAATCTACCAGGAGAAGTATCCTTAGCACTCTCATGAATCATACCAAAAAGAAGTTGGGGATAAAATAAATACAACCTTATATTAAAAGTTTCATGAGGTTAATTTTTGACATACGGATCGAGGTCAGATTACGAAGTCACTTCGACAATAGTGATACTTCCAACTTAAAGAAAACAACTCCATCACACCATTCATCAATTTCGACAAGTGACGAAAAAATCTTGGACTGTGTACATGAATAATTGCTGATCATAACTAGTGGGGAACAAAGGAGGATATGGAACTTTAAAGGGTCTTCTCTTAACAACCGTACATTCGTCATATCACACTAACAAAATAAAAAAAGTCAAATGGAAATTAAATTTATTTAGAAGAGGTCTAAGATTTTGTATAGGAGGAAACAATCTTTGTATTAGAAACACAAAGTTACAAAAGGGAAGAAGAAGAGGGAGATGCAGCATGATCCAAACAACAGCCAAAGAGGTTATAAAAAAGGCCTTCAATTAGTGTTAATGAAACAAGAACAATTTTACCTAAAGAAATCCAACTAGACCCAACAAAAAGAATAAGGTCTAAGAAACTCTCCACATTCCTCCTGCATGTCTAAATGAAATTATAACAGCCTACGCCCAACGCTAGCAGAAATTGTCCTGTTTGAGCTTTCCTTTCCGAACTTCCCCTTAAGGTTTTAAAACGTGTCTACTAGGGAGAGGTTTCCACACCCTTATAAGAAATGTTTTGTTCCCCTCTCCAACCGACGTGGGATCTCACAATCCACCCCCTTGGTGGCCCAACATCCTCGCTGGCACACCGTTTGGTGTGTCTAGCTCTGATACCATTTGTAACAGCTCAAGCCCACCGCTAGCAGATATTGTCCTCTTTGGGTTTTCCCTTCTGGACTTCTCTTCAAGGTTTTAAAACGCATCCAGTAGGCAGAGGTTTCCACACCCTTATAAAAAAACATTTCGTTCCCCTCTCTAACCAATGTGCAATCTCACATAAGTGGAGCTAACAAATGCAGAAGGGCAGTGGACACATAAATAATCAATGTCTTCCTATTTCTTTTACACTCAATGCAGAATGTGGAAAGTTAAAACATCCAATATTGCTTCAAAAACAATGGGGAGAAAAGGTCCAACAATATAGTCTCTGAAAAACATACTGCCAGTGGAGACCATGACAAGAAGTAATGAAACATGAATACATGAAAGTCAAGCAATTGAAATACTAGAAAAATGACTAACAAAATGACCGGCTTGCAGAAAATGCTAGAAAATGTAAAGATGCGAAAAAAAAAATTAAGAAAGGAAAAGAACAGAAAGAAAGAAAGAAAAGAACCTTGAGCCATTATCACCAAGACCATGAAGCCAGACAATGGTAGCTTGGTGTTTTCCCTTGGGCCTCACTACGTAGGTTTTACCAAACTCAATTGCCCTTCTGGCAGCTTTACCACCTGAAAGTGACCATGACAGGCTCAAGCAAGAAGGCTCAAGCTTCCACAGGATAATATATCTTAAAGTGAACCCAACATACAAGCCTAGCTACTCCCACGATTAAAAAATAGTTGATCGCAAACTGGAAGTTTCTTGAATAAAAACGGTAGTGTTTAAGGATGCATAGAGAAGGATGAATCCAAAACAAGATATGCGGGAGGACAAAACACCTTAAATCAAAGAAAAAACTAATCAGCAGACAGGAGAATGAAGAGGGATCAGTCCACTGACCAGAAGCAACGGAAGAGCCAGCTAAACTCATATTCGCGTGAACCACCACCTGAAGAGATTGACTATGAATAAATCCTGCTGGGGGCAACAAAAAAGAATCATCCAGTGTTGAAATTATTTCGAGAAACTTGCTGAATTAAAAATTCATACAAGGACGAAATCTCGTCAAACAAAGCTCGATAAAAACAATGCAAGGACGACGGCTTCATTTAAGGATCTATAATTCATTGTAATCCTTTTGACTAATTTCCAGGAGGATTCAGTCCCCTTTCCATGAAGAAATCCATACATTTCAACCTCCAACGAATCCATACATTTCAAAGCAACCCCCAAGAGATTACAACAATCCGAATGAGTAGTGTCAAGTGCAGCAAACAAATCTCACAAACAAACCACAACACAAACCAAGATTCAAAAACGACTTCTCACCATCACCAAACCATCCTATCCCCAACAAAAACATTCAGAAAAAGAAAAAAAAAACATAGAAACAATGAATCTGGAGCCAAAAACATCAAAAGAGTAACCTGAGTTGGTGTGTTTATGGATAATATCTTCTTCTTCCCGATGTATTGATTGATCTCTCTCGCTCCCGCTCTCTCTCTCTCTCTCTCTCTGTGATTGTATTGTGTTTGTTTTGAGGGGCGTGTGTTGTGCTGTGTTTGTGTTCCCGCCCCGCCCGGTCCGCGCTTGGTGTGTTTAATATGCCATAGCTGTAGCGCTGGGGACTCCCCAACTTGCTCTTTCTCCCCTCGGCCCCTCCTCCTCCTCCAGTTGACCTTTCCCCCCCTTTCTTTGCCACCTGGCCGATTTCCACGTGGGAAACTTTCCATTTATACCCTACTTCTTCCCCTTTTTTTTATTTCCTTACATTAATTTTTTATTTCAAATACTCAAATTTCCTTCCATTATATTAACATATGTCATTTATGATTAAATTATATATTAATGTAATAATGTTTTAATCTTGACAGATAATATGATTTAAATATAGTTTGATTTATTAAAAAATTAGTATAGTTATTTAATAATCATAAATAAATAAGTGTAACCACTCAAACATTTTTGGACTTTCCCTTTCCAACTTCTCCTCAAAACTTTAAAACTCCTCCGCTAGGGAAAGGTTTCCACACTGTAAGAGATTTTTTTGTTCTCCTCCTCAGCCAATGTGGGACATCACAATCCACCCCCCTTCGGGCCCCAACGTCCTCGCTGGCACTCGTTCCTTTCTCCAATCGATGTGGAACCGCCACCAAATCCACCTCCTTTGGGCCCAGCGTCCTTACTAACACACCGCCTCGTGTCTACCCGCCTTTGGGGAACAACGAGAAGGCTGGTACGTCGTTCGGTGTCTAGCTCTGATACCATTTGTAAAGACCCAGATCCACCGCTAACAGATATTGTTATCTTTGGATTTTTTCCTTTCGGACTTCCCCTTAAGACTTTAAAACACGTCTCATAGGGGAAGGTTTCCACACCCTTATAAAGGGTCTTTTGTTCTCCTCCCAACCCACGAACGTGGGGCATCAGAATAAATGTGGGGTAGTGACGAATTCATGGACGAGGAAACCAAATTCGAGTACTTTTTTGTCTTTCTCTTTGGTCCCTGTGGAGTTTGAAAAGGATAAAAATGTGAATTTATGAGCGAGGGAAAAGAACAAGGACCACTTTCTGGGCACCTTTTATTCATTATTATTTTTTTTTTTCAAAAAGGATACTAAAAAGGGAGTGGAAAAAGAAAAGTTTAATCAACTTTAACGTTAAATTTGATATAAAAAAAAACAAATAAAAATCATTTTAACTAATTTTAATAATTAGCATAATTTAAAATTAAAATAAAAATTGGGTCAAAATGGAGGAGCACATTTGAACTTTTCGCCTTATCTCAACTTTATTACCAAATTTACTTCCCTCTCCTTCTGATTTTGACATAACCCCACACCACCCTCCATTATTAATACCTCTGCACTCTCATTTATTTATTTTATTTACTATTTTCTTTTTAGTAATTTCAAAATTCGATTTTAATATTTAAACTTTAACTAATTTGAATTAGTAAGAACTAAATCTGTTGCATAAGAAAGAATGTTTTCTTCCGAAATATATTGGTCAGTTCTATGCGATTTTTATGAAAAATGCAAAATAAAATAAAACAAATTGAGAACAAAAAGACGATACGTGTGCAACTTCGGTGCTGTGATTAGGGCGCCGAAGTCAAAGGGAGGCCGGCGGCAGATGCGGCCGTTGCCGGCGGCCTTACCTCACCGGGGGGTGAGTACGGAGAAGGCGTATGAGTTCGTCGTCGAAGACGATGAAGGACGGTCTGTGTCGTTCATCCGTTCCCCAAATGCAACAAGCTTCGGCCTCTCATGGCTATTCATCATCTCTTCATCGACAGACAATAAATCGACGACGAGCATTTGAGTATCCGGCGGCTCCTCCACTGGAACGCGGCCTTCGAGCATATCCACCACCGTTGCCATCGTCGGCCGAAGCTTAGCCTTCTCTTGAATGCACCACAAACCCACGCAAACTAGTTTCCGTACCTCTCTCTCGTCAATCGTTCCCATTTCTAAGAGTCTTTTATCCACAGCTTCCATTAGTTTCCCTTCCTTCAATTTTGCACTCACGATTCGGGGAAAATACTGCCATTTCCTCTTAGATCTGTCCTCCTCGTTCTCAACTACGCTCACGTTCCTCTGCCCGCCGACTAGTTCCAGAAGAACCATTCCGTAGCTGTATATGTCCGATTTCTCTGAGATTCCGTTCTCCAATAGCCATTCCGGAGCCAAATACCCCTTCGTCCCTCTCATCGATATCATTATTCGGCTCTCGTCTTTCCCCATCAGTTTTGACAGTCCGAAATCCGATACGATTGCTCTGTAGTTCTCGTCTACGAGGATGTTTTCCGGCTTGACATCGAGGTGTAAGATTCTCGATCGGCAATCGTGGTGAAGGTAGGCTAGAGCTTTGGCCACATCGATGGCGACTCTGTATCTCATATCCCAAGCTAAGCAACCGCCAGGGCGATTACGATTCTTGTGCCTAGGTTTTTTGGGGAAAATCCAGCAATCCAAGGATCCGTTCGATACGAATTCGTAGACGAGAAATCGAGGTCCAGATGAATTGATACAGTAGCCAATCAGACGAACGAGATTTACATGCTGAGCACTAGCAATGGCGGATACCTCCGCACGGAACTCTTTCTCTCCTCGATTCTCGCCCTCGATCCGCTTGACAGCCACCGCAGTACCGTCTTTAAGAACTCCTTTAAAGACAGATCCGGACGATCCTTGCCCTATCAACGCCCTGAAATAGTCCGTCGCTTCCTCGAGCTCTTTGTACTTGAACTTCGTCGGAACTCCGGCGACCTTCCTCAAGAAACTGTACTCGATCCGAAGCTCTCGACCTTCAGTTACTAACTGCGACTCGAGCTGTTTTCTTCTCCGGTTGAACCGCCTTCTGATCACCAAATACATCAGGATAGCGGCGGTAAGGGACACATCGATCCCGCAAATAAGATAAAAAGGCTTGGACAATTTCAGGAGGACTCGAGCCAGAATGACGAGAAGGATGAGGAAGACGATGAACGAAAGAGCAATTACGTGAGCTTTCTTATCCTCCATGGAAATCTCTTCCTTCAGGTTTCTGTTAGCAGGAACAGGTTCACATTTCTCTTCCTCTGTGAATTGAATCCGTTTCTGGTGAGAACTATGAAGAATAGTCTTTGTTTTCTTTTTCTTTTTTCTTTTTGGTTGCCCGACTGGCCACTGCTAATAAATTTGCCGAGTCCATCTCGTTGACTGAATAATTTTATTATTATTTTAAATTTATTTTTAATGCAATTAACGCGGCAATTACATTTGATTATAAAGAGTCCACGTCAGTTTTTTCGAAGTTAATTAACAAATTAAATAGTCAAGAACTTAAGATGAACACGACTCCCCACAGTATGTGATATTGTCCACTTCAGCATAATCTCTCATGACTTTGCTTTCGGCTTCTCCAAAATGCCTCATAGTATCCGAAAGCAAAGTCATGAGAGCTTATACTCAAAGTGGACAAAATCATACCATTTTGAAGAATCATGATTATAAGATTTTAATTATCAAATAAGATTATAAGATTTTAATTTGGTGTATAATGTATTTCTAAATTTTCAAATTTGTGTCTAATAGAATTTTCTTTTAAATTAATAAATTTGTTAGATACAAATAGATGATTAATTTATAAATTAAAAATTGTTTACACTTTTTACCACATATTTTTAAAAATATAAAATCAAATTTATTTTATGACAGTTGATTATTACACTATTAGGATAGACCGTTTAAATTATATTTGTGTTAATCATCAATTATAACATTTTTAAGTTCAATAACGCCACAATTAAAATAAAGAAATTCAAAATTTTAGCCTAAAAAAATATCTTAATCAGTTGAGTTATAATCAAATTGATAATACATGATTATGAGTTATTTATTTATACCATTAACGTATATTATAATATGTTGATTTGATGTATATATACGCTATATGGTATCGTATAATACAAACAAATAACTTGTTAGGTTTAGATGGACTTCATTTAGGTTAAGTATGGAAAATTGTCCTAAAAACAATTATATTTTGACATTTTTTTCAAAGATTTTTTATTTTTCCTATTTTAAAATTAAAGATTGAACAATAAATATGGAGGAAAAAAAAAGAAAATTATTTGGATGCTGCGATCAAACGCAATATTTAAATAAAATTGGAAGCTGACTTGTTCAATTAACAAAACTAAACCACTTAAGCTTAAAAATTATTGTTGATATTGAGACTCTTTTATTTTATTTTATTTTTAAAAATTATTGTGAAAAATAAATGAAGGATCTTATTAAGAAAATATTAATAATAACGACGGGAGAAGACTTCACAGTTTATATTCATACACACGAACTTTATTCGATAAATATTCCGTTTTATTGAATTTTTTCTTTTGTTTATTAGGAAAGAATGAAACTCTAATCTCGATAGAAAATTAAACCATAAAATTGTAGCCCACCTTGTATAACGACCTTAATTAGCCACTTTTAGTGACTTTGGCGGCTAGTTACATAATGTGTAATTACCACAAAACCGTCGTTATCATAATAATCAGATCATGCGTAAAAATAGGTCCCAACACAATTAAAACGCGTTTAATGATACATTATAATCAAACACCCTAGAGCCGTACATGTGCATGCATACCACATCATTTTAAAAGCACAAAACATTTAGTTCTTAACGATTCCTTACCTTGAAAAATTTCTACCGAACATTCGTTGGCCTACTCAACCTAGTCAAAATCTCAAATCAACACTGAACTAAGAAAGTAGCTAAACCAAATCAGTTCAACTGAATAGAATGAGGTCGGTCTAACTGAATCAGACGATGGTCTAGTTGAACCAAAAAGGGTGAGTCGTGTTCCTTTGGCGTGTCCTTTCTCAATGTCGAGACGACGGTCGGGTTTTAGGTTGAAATATTGCAATATGAGAGTTGGGGAGAATTGGGAGATTTTTTTGTTTACAAGGGTAATAAAGTCTTTTGATCTCCAAAATATATTTTAAAAAATGTAGAAATTAAAATGTGGTAGTTTTGACCTTAATAATTGA